ACCTACTGGTTAGAGGTAGGTACAAGGGTGTAGGAGCCCTGCATATAGATTCTAGACCAGCAATTAAATTTCTCCAAAAGGTTTCTCCAAAAGGTTTTCTTTCTGCTCATTTATACCAGAATCCAAAGGAATATTTGTTACCTCACCAACCTTGTATCCTGATGTAACTATGATTATGTTTAGTGCTGTTTCTCACATCCTGTTAAAGAGTCAGCTCTCCTGAGAGGCATTTTTTCTGAGTTAAATCAGAATAAATAAAGTAATTTTTCGTTTTGTTTTTTTGGGAGTTTAAAACATTTTTAGGAAGTAGGCTTATATTAGAAATCTTCATTAACTGATATCTAAAGGGATAAAAAATTAATCAAGACCATGCTGCAATCTGTATTCTGCCTGCTCACAGCAAGCTCAATGCACTCACTGCTCAATACACTCTAATTCTTTAACTAAAATAATGGCAAGTTTGACTGGGTTTAAACATACAGCAGATGGTTCCTGTGTATTTAACTGCAGTAATTCCCTCTCTGATATTTCTCCATCTTCTGCCATAATTTCTTGATACATTTTTTTTCTTCTTTTTTTTCTTTTTTTTTTCTTCTTTAGGTATGTCAAGGGGAAAACCCAGTGCTTTGTGTTCTTTATGTCTCATACTCCAGTCTCTGGAGTTCTTCTGTTGGCTGTATGTTGTTAATGCTAATCGTGATAGGGGTTTTTACCTCTGACTGACTCCTACACGTTAGCATTAACACTGTACCATGCCTCTTACCAGAATTCACATGGAACAAACTGTTGCTGTGGGAGGAGAACAGAAATCATGAATCAGTCAGTGCTATGCTGGGAAAAACCTCTGCTCTACATATAAAAAGACAAGTTGTTCTGCATACAGGCATGCTTGCTAGGTATAGAGTCTGGAAAAGTGGAGACAAAATAGCAGCTCTGTGTATTATCAAGTTCTTACTAGGATGTGTAACATTTTGAATGCAACAACCTGGGTTTTACTTTATCAAATTTCAGCTCTTTTGGTTTTACTTCCTACACAAATGTTTCATTTCTTCATTTTTATTTAGCAAAGAAAAATGATGGATTAAACTTCTGGTGTGTACAACTTCTATTAATTTCTGTAGAATTTTATTATACACAAGAGAAAAAGTGACAGAAAATGTTTCTTTGAGATTCCATTGTCAGTTCTTTAGGAGAAATGGGTCAATGGGTCATTAGGAGAAAATGAAAGTATCTTTAGTTTACTTTAGGATTACCTGTGCATTTCAAACTTTAAGAAGTCTTAGAAAATTGTAGAGAAACATGAAAGTATTGTTATATTTATTTTGTGGAAAGTCAAAATAGTTCCTGAATATTCACAGTCACAAAACCTGAGTGACAGAGCCAGTCCTTAAAACTCTCTCTTATCTCTACTTAAATCTTCTTGGGGAATAGTTTAGCTATGAAACAGTAATTTGATTGGAGAACAAAAGAGAAAACTAAAAAACTCAAAGTATTCTCCATAAATTAAGAATTTGTTTAATGATTGTGATGTATCAATATGAACACCTCTTTCTGTTATCAGTGTTCTGCCTGTGAATCCCCGGCACAAGGAATGATTACAGAGCACTCAAGACCACAGAAATTTACAAAGCAATGGTCTTATAAAAAAGTGTCCCATACAAAAAGTCTTGCTGAATGTGATTTTTACACTCAGACAGAACTGCTGCAGGGCATAAATATTTTCCAAATCAGGCTCTAGGTTAAGTGGCTCCCCCAGGATGCATACAGCTGGGGGGGGCATAACCACCAAAAAAAGAAAAGCCACTTTTATTCCTTCCAAAGTCAGAGCTGTAGCTCTGAGAGGGAATTCTCAAAGTGGTGCAGCAGATTTTGGTAAAGAAAAGCATACTCCTATTAACACTCCAGAGAAAATGGCTTTAAATGCAGGAAGAAAATTGTGGAAAAACAGAAAAAAGTCCAGAAACAATCTTATTTCTTGGGTGACACTGAAGCTCAGTTTGATTTCCCTGTCCATTTGAGGCCACATTCAGCAGCACTGGTCTGCTGAAGCAAAGATGATCCTAGAGCATCTGTCCTGAATAGACACGTCAATAGAAGGTGTCTTAAGGAAGAAAGCAAATCTTTCCCCTCACCATCCTAATTCATAGTCATACCATAAAAATCAAGTATTTGCTCCCTCACATTTTCTATCTTTAAAATGTGACTAACATGCAAGCTTAAGAAATAAATAGCAATTATAAATATGGTCAAATATTAGACTATTATGTGTATTCTTTCTGCATAGCTAGTTCCCCAGAAAAGCAGACATAGTTAGGTTGTGGATATTATCATAGCAGATCCCAAAATAATACGTTTTCTTTTCACTCTGAAAAAATGTTAATGCTGTCCATGACTGGGGTTAAGTCTCATGAAAAACCACAGCATGATAGCATTACCATTTTCAGATGGTTGGTGTTCTTCAAGAAATACCCACTGTCAACTCTTCCAATCAAATGCCTTTATGCTGCCAAGTTCCTGTGTCTGTAAAAACTAATTAAATAAATGCAGCAGGTTAACTGGCTTCAAATATAACAAAGTACTGTGCTGAGTGGAATACTGCTAGATAAGTTACCAAAAAGCAGTAGAAGATTACTCCTTGACAGAAGTTAAAATAGAAAGGGAAACCTGTTCTGGCTGCTGTCATGAAAGGACTTGATGTCCACTGATGATTGTTTTCATCACTTGCATGTGTTCAATTTCCCAGGGAAGACCTTTACTGCCTGGTAAGAAAAAAATAACTCTTTCTTAGCATTTAATTCCTTCTGTTATTAAGTAAGTCATACTATATCCCAATTGCCTTTTCTATCTCCAAAGTCCATGATAACATGAAATACAGAATGTTTCTTTGGAAGAAAATTTCGCAGTTGGTTATATGTGTCAGCTGAAACTGCTCGACTTTCCTTCTGCCACCTCTTAGGATTAAGACACCATGTAGCTTTAGCCTTAATATAAAGTTTTCTTTTCTTGGATAAAACCAGTAAGCAAAAAGGAAAAATTAAAAGTTTCAGCTCTTTCAAACAACATGCAGAAGGAGGAACAATTTGAGTGTGAGAAGCCATGAAGCTATCACTGAGATGTCCAACAAAGAAGAAGGCTTCAGTTCCTGCCTTTTCCCCTGTTACTACAGAATTTTGGAATGGGTTGGGTTCAAAGGGACCTTAAAGATCATCCTGTTCCAAGCCCCCTGCCATAGGCAGGAACACTCTCCACTATCAGGATGCACCAAGTTCCATCCAATCTGACCTCAAGCATTTCCAAGTCTGAGGTACTCATGAGTTCTCTGGACAACATGTTCCAGTGTCACACTGCTTTCACCTTAAAAAAAATTCTTACTTATTCCTTACCAGAATCTGGCCAGTATCAGCTTCTGCTCATGGACGTTGGCCTAAGTGACCCTGCCCTCCCCTTTCTCCACTTTGCAGCATTGTGTCCTCCTAGATTCTTCCTTTTAGCTGGTTCTGCCGTTCTTTTGCTGAGTAAAAATTGCCTCTTTACATACAGAAATTTAATTTTAAAAAATAGCCAAGAAGGGGAATTGACAAAATTCTGCAGTGTCTTTTGCCCATCTATCCACCCCTAATCCCTACAGCTTCCTATAGTTTTCAGTATAGAAAATAACAATATCTACTTTCTTATCTCTTTTTGAACTGATCAGTGATGGTGTCTTCTGACTATTTCCAATGGAGAAGATTGGACCAGGCCCCAGGGTAGGCAGGACAGTGCACAAGCATCCAGAATCCACACTCAGTCAGAGCTTTGCCATACACATTTTGGTATTTTATATAACCCCATAGCTTTAAGTTTAGTATATGGTGATAGTTGCAGGTATGTGTTTGAGCACTGCTGAAACCACCCTGCAGTTCAGCTGAAGTTCAGAAAACCTAAGTCAAAAAGAGAAAGGAAGCACCACTCTAACCCAGCTGCTCCAACAGCCTTCTCAGCAGACAATTTCAGCATTTTATGCACCAACAGTCAATGGTAAAATAAATGGCCTTGAACTCAGAGTCATATCTCCCTGCTGCCCTGTGGCTGGGGAAACTGAGCACTGCTTCCATTTGTTCTCACGCTCATTCAAGGAATGTTGAGAACTTTTCTAGCAGTGCCATCACTTAATACAGATCAGGCAGGGAGTACTCAAAACACCATATTAGCCAATCCCCCAAAAAACACAGATGTTCTCTGCACATGTGGCTCTGAATCCCACATTGGCAGAACTGACTTCAATCTACATTCCTATTTCAAAATGTGCTATGCTGAGAATGAAATGAACACTATTGCCCAATTCTCTTAACTGTTGCTGTGCTCTGTGAGGATCCTGGTGCTGTTCAAACACATTCTCCAGCTACATCTCTCCCTAAGGGAGACCTGTCTTCGGGACTCCATGGAATTCAAGGTGTGAGAGAGCACGGAGTTCTACAGAAGTTTGAGCTTCCACCATTTTATGCACAACCTTAACATTTTCAGTATTGCAGTCGCACACTTGCAAAAGTCCCTTTTGTGAGTAATTCACCTGTGGGATGACTTTCCTGCTCCTCCAACCAAAAATCCTCACACCCCAAACATAACAAACAAAAAAACAAAAAAAAAAGAAAAACCTCTCTCCCCAGCCCCCCAGAAAAGCACATACCAGAAAAGCTCTGAAATTCCAGCCAGGGTTAAAAAAGGTATAGTCCTAAGTGATAGCATCCCTCTCACTTTCCTCTGCAGCTGTTGGAATCCAGGAGGAATTCTGGATATCCAAAAAAGCAAGCAGACATCAGGGGGCTTTCTAGATTGTAATAGAACAAGTTTAAGATTCAAACCAGACCACCTGGATTGGATTCCAATGGCAAAATTTCTCTGGTCTTGGGTTAATCAAAGATGGCAAGTACTGCATTAAACAACAAACAAAAAACAACCAACCAAACAAGCAAAACTAAAAGAAAACCACAACAAAACCCCAAAAAAACCCAACACAAACAGCAATTTTTTGTGTTTATTAAGACAAGAAACAATGCCTGCTTCTTCAACAGCACCAGAACAACAGGTTCAAAACCAAAGTACACTCCAGCAAGTTCAATTTAATGAAAATATACAGAATGTGTAAATGCATAGTGTACATTGAAGGTAAACTTTGAATCAACAATCTTATTTAAAAAATAAGCATCTGATACCATTATAAACAGTCCTCTGCAATATTAATCAAGAGGAAAAAGCCCCATGTGTTTTCCAAGCATCCTGAGAAGACATGGGTTATACCTAAATGTATATTACTGAACTGCTATCCTGCTCTCACAAAACTGTGGTGTCAACTGATTAAGAACCATGTGATGCAGTTAATGGTAAAAATAATAACTGGGATGAAATTCAGAGAGAATATTTGCACTTCAAAAAGTAGTAAAATTTTCCTCTGGTATAATAAGAACAGTTCTAATGAGTTGAGGATAAAAATACAAAACGTCAGAAAACATCATCTAACAAAACCCCCTTGTGAAATGTAATTGAAGTCACCATATTTAAATGTCAAAGAAAGAAAATGCATAATAAATCTTAGTACACTAGGGATCCAAGTAATGAACTAAATTATTGGTATTATTCTGGAAAATTATCTTTAACAGCACTTGTCCAGCAGAAAGAAATCATTAAACTCCAATAACTTCCTGGCTTTTACATTCTACTATTTTTGTATTGGTAAAGCAATGGCAATTACACCTTTACATACTTTTAAGGGCACCTTTTTAAGATACTATTTGTCTCATCTTTCAGTTGCAGTGGGCAACAACATATGGGTGGACACATGCAATTATTGTTGTCATGGTAAGGACAGGGCAACTTGAAATTTATTGCAGATAAAAAATTACCTTCCCTCCACTTCCCTCTTTTTTTCTTTGAGGAAACCTTTGAAGTGGACTGAAACATTTTGTGTATATCTGTGTCCATACTTATCTATGATTTAGGTCACATTAATTCAAATTAATTACTGTCCTAGGGTGAGGTTATGATGTTTGTATCCCAAATTATTATTATTATGCTGGATATTGTATTCTGTGCCTTCAAGACTGGCTCTGAGAGCGAAGGCTCTCAGAGAAGAAGCAGAGAGTTTGTTATCAGCCTGCACTCCTCCACATTCTGCTTGACTGTGTGTCTGGGCATGGACAGGGCAGAACAGAGTGCTCCTTTGCTTTTTAGTTAGTTTAGCTAGCTGAGGCAAAGTTGTTTTCCCTGGACTGGTTTTCTTTCCCTTTTCTTGGAACTGTTCAAGCCTGTTTCAGACTGGGACCCAGGGAAACACCGAGAGCTTGCACTTTGTGGTCTAGCAGGGCCTGCTCTGGGCAGCAGCTTTTCCCAGTGCCCAAGGGACTGATAACAGAGCACCACCAACTGGAGAGATTTTCTGAATTTGTCATCTCTTCAGAGCAGCAAATGAGTTTTGCCATCTGGTATTGTTCATTTTTTGTGCTGGGGAGTGCTTTGCCTGTTTAAATAAACAAGTTTTTTCCCACTTCTCTCCAAGGAAATTTTTCCTGAACCAGTTGAGGGGGAAGGACTGTGTGGGTTTGCTTTCTTGGGGGGCCCCCATTTGGAGGTTTTCTCCCAAATTTGTCCTAAACCAGCACAATTACCCAAGACATTTTTGTAAGAGGCACAAACAAGTAATGTAAAAATACGTATTTTATTATTATGTACATTTAGAGGTTCAACTTAATTTAAACTGATACAGGTTTTCCTTCTTCAGTTCCATCTTTTGCCTCAAGACATGATGCTGCTGCTTCCAAATATTCTTCTTCAGTGACCTGCAGAAAGATATCAATTTTGTAATATTTTTTAAAATTATTTCACTCTCCTTGATCCTGAAAATCCTCTGTTCATATTGTCACTGTAACAAGAAAGGACAATCTACAAAGACTACTATCTTCTCCAAAATTAAACAACCTGAAGGACAAGAATATTCAAACTAAGTTCAGGGAAGATGCCATATCCATGGCTAACAAGTTTCAGAAGATATTAAGTAGGTTTTTTTATGTCTCTTGTCAAACAAGTAAGTACAATTATTGATCAGAAGGCTCTACAATAGCTGCTCTTTAATTCTTACAAAGACTTCCTATGTTTAAATATGTCTTGATAGTGGTTATTTGGTTATATGTGGGTTATAATATTTTATAGTTCCATTTACCTCAAAGTATTTTTCAATTGGACAAATCAAATAGTATGTTTCTTAAATGGCACAATGCTTTTTAATAAGAGACCTCAGAAACAGTGCTACCACATCCTCTAATAAATTAGCAGTTAGATTTCTGATTTCCATTCACCTGTGAATATTTCCATTCCTAAAGATATGTTCTTGAGTATACTACCTACCTGTAATTCAAAGTGTCCTCTATCAGAGCATACCTTGCTATTTGGTAGCCTGTACTTCACCACTAGTGAACTTACCAGCTTCTTTGATCTTTCCAGCAGTCTGTGCCACACAGTGTGGTGAGCCTGTGTGAAATGTCATTAAATCATGTTAGCAGAGGTAAAAAATAATCTTATCATAGAACAGATTTTACTAATGTATAGAAATGATGCCACAAAACCGTAATAATGCCCAGTTTAAATGTTCTGTTTTATCAACTGAAAATTTTGGTGTCCAGTTTGCCAATATTCATGTGGGGGACTTGAATAAATGTCTACCCATCACATGCCCCATCCCTGAAGTGTTCATGGCCAGGTTGAACAGAGCTCTGAGCAACCTGGTCCAGTGGAAGGTGCCCCTCCCCTTGGAAGGAGAATTGGAACTGTATGAATTTTAAGGTCCCTTCTAACCTAAACCATTTTATGGTTCTATGATTCATCCACTGAATCATAATTCCCTGAGGAATTAATTGGCAAAAATGGGAATTATGCTTAGGAAGGAACACAGAGATGAGCTGAGGAACCCCTGAAAACTTCCCCAACTAAGACAATAGTACATGTGCCAGACCACAAGGTCAAAATTATGTAAGTCAACATGAATGGGAATAAAGACTCCAGCCTCCACCTTCAGTTCTGCAAAGCCTTTGTTTAAGACTCATTAGAGCTAAGAAACTTTTTGTTGCTGCTACTTTTTACTTTGGTGTTGTGAAATTCTTTGAATGGTATCTTTAGCACAAGTATAAATACAAAGCTCTTTTAAGCACTGTCAGTAGCCTAGATGTAAGAAGACTGACATGCACTTAGGCAAACAGAATTAAAAATCCATGCAGGAAAAATAACATCATGGGTCCTCTCATGCAAACTTTTCTAGTTCTGACTGCACATCCACAACTGTTTGAAGAAAATGAACCCCAAATATCCAACACAGTCACCATCAGGGCCCTCCCTTTCTACAGTTCTCAACTATGAATTCCATTTAGCTACCAACACAGCACCTAATAAAGATAGAAACACAGGTTATATGTTCTGATTTAAAGAAGGAAAACCTGTGCAAAATTAATTACTTACCTTCAAATGGACTGGCAAGGACACACCCTGGAACCTCCTTATCAATTCAGACTGGTCAGTCTGAAGATTATGGGCTGCTGTTATCTCGTACTGGAAACAGAAACCTGTCCTTGGAATATGAGGACCTTCACTAACATCTACAAAGTCACCAAACCTGAAAGAACAAAAAAACCCCAGCTTATATGCCAAATATATTTGGAGCGAAATACAAGGAGATGAGGTTTTATTTTTGATTAGCAAATTCCAATCAACAGAAAGAAAATCCACAAGAAACCCCAAACCAAATCTACACAAATCTCTAGCTCAGCATTTTTACGTTTCCTAAATTAAAAATACAGATCACACGATTTCCTTAAATGAACGTAGAAAATGTAAACCTCAGGTCTAGGAAAGGATCTTGGGTTTAAAAAGTTTGATGTCATGTTGGCTCTACAACTGAGATAACTGTCATTCACCAGAAAAAGATTTGTCTCCAAGATCATCTGTTTCCCACAGTACAGTGTTTACAACCTGCACAGTTATTTCCCTTTCCAGTTCTTGGAAAACTGCAAATCAATTAAGAAAAGAGAGACAGCATAGTACAGCAAAGAAACACTGAGAATGAACCTCTCCCAGAAGGCAATAGGTAAGCCCATTTTCTCCTTTATTGAGCAAATCAACGTGGGAGGAAGGAGAGAATGACAAAACATTTTTCTAAAATTTCAAGAATGACCATTGCAAAGTCATCTGTTCTTTTAGATAGATTATGCTCCTTAAGACAGAACAAAAACAAATTAGGAACTCTTTAAACATCTATGCAAATGAATATCCTACAATAGCCTAAGACAGAGAACTCCCTGAGATATGAGGCAATTATCCTGCCTCCAGACTAAGAACTCTGCATCTTACACTGTATCCCCAGGATGCTGTTCTATTCTCATCTCCACCACTACAAAGCAGTAGATTGCAAGTTAGGAAGATCGTGACAACTCTGAAAGAAAAATCCATTATACAATGCTAACTCTTGTTTTCAAACAAGTATTTGATTTTTATTTTATTTAGCCTGTCAAGCTCTAGAGATTCCCTTAGTTTTCATGTAAAAGTACTGAAAACAGTAAGACTTCTCTAGTACTTACCATCCTTAACATAACAAGAAATAGAAATGTAGTATCACAAAGTATCACAAAATAACGGTTATATTAAAAAAACAAGCAAAGAAACCACACCAACAACTTAAGACAGACCACAGACATTAATGAATACAAATGATCTCTAAATTGAAAACCATCCCAAGTAACTTGCTCTTCTCACTCGTAATAAACTCAAATGTTCCAGTGAATCATTACAGAATGGGAGTTCAGTTTTGCTTACCTATGTAATGGTACAATTCCTTCCATATTTTGAGCAGCTTTTCTTTCTATCATCTCCATTTTGTATCTGGACAAGAAAAAAAATTATTTTTAAAATCCTAACCTTTAACACCTTGCTCTTATAAAAACACTTCAAAAACAAATTTAATTCATTTAAAATTCCTAAAAATCATGTTTGTATTTATGTGAGCTTTGAGACTGGTTTAAATTCCTAATGAGAACCCATATTGACACACTTCATTAACAGACCTGTTAGTTAACCTCAGTTCATGGACAAATTACAGAGATTTTACTGAGCAGTACTGAAAGGCACTTTAAAAATAATGCAATCATCAGGCACAGTCAACATGGGATCCTGAGACAGGATGTTTGGGAATGGTTTAATGCTGTGCTGGGAGGCAGTTCAAACTAGACACTAGGAGGTATTTCCTTAGGAGATGGTATTCAAACACTGACCAGGCTTCTTGGAGAGGTGGTCGATGCCCCAAGCCTATCACTGACTAAGAGGCATGTGGGCAATGCCTTTAATAACTTGTTATAACTTGTCAGCCCCATATCAGCCAGGCAGCTGAACTAGGTGGCTGTTTTAGGTCCCTTCCTATTGAAACATCTATACCAGTCTATTCTGTGCATATTTTATAGGAGGGCCATGCTCCCACAGCAGTTTTGTTCAGAAAGATACAATACACCTACTACTACAAATAAGAGTTTTTCAGGTCACCTGTAAGACTAGAAGATACCCTGACATCACCTAAACTGACTTGATGCAATGTGTAGCCCTTAACATCTGGTTGCCTGCAATACAGGAAAATGCTCTCTGTGCTTTCTATACACGATATCTAAAGGTACCATCTAAAGTCAGCTCCCACCTGCTGTCAATGCAGTGGAGACAATGATCCATATGTCACATTAAAATGACCTTCAGCACTAAGCTAAAAAATTTGCTATTTTGAAACTTTAGCTTTATTGTAGTTTAATTTTGGTTCACAAAATTATAAATTATTTCTCATTTTCCCCCTACATCTCTCCAACTGCCAAAAAGCTGTGGACCAGAAACATGGCTGAGGTATTTTTTTCAGCAAAGAAGACAGGAGGTTTTGAACAAACCTATTTTTATAGCACAGGCCAAAGTATTTCACCCATTTTCCCTTGCAGAGTTCAAAAACTACAATTCATTAAATCTTCATTTCAAGATACCAGGACATGAAAAATATTCATTTCTTAAAGTATGGAAGCCTTTCAGAAAAGGCTACCATGTCAAGGCTAACCACCAGAGTTTCAATTTAATAGCAGTGGAATCTTGAAGCTTGCTAGTGAACAAAAGAAGTCTCAGTCTTCCAGTCTGTCACAAAACTACATCCAGTAAAGGTGCCTGGTGTTGGCCTCTGAAGAGAATAGTAAGAACTAAGTAAGTTGGTGTGGAAAAAGAATGAGGCAGGCTCATTCAGAGCAGTGGGAGAAGTACCTTCTTACTTCACCTGTCACATCTTATTTTAGATTTATAAAACCAAGCAAAGATTTTACTTGATTTCTAATTGCCTCTTTGAAAGAAAGGCAAATTCAGACACTCACACATTATGCTGAAACATTTCACGTGCTACTTTTGCTTCAACATGCAGTGTTTCGAAGGGAAGGTCTTGATGGATTAGCTTTTTGGCATCCCTTGTAAGAGAACTGAAGTTTTCCTAATAAAAGAACATAAAAACTGTAACCACCTTGTCATAGCTGTAGTGAACAGAAAAAGCACAGCAAACACTAAATATTAGTCAAAGCAACAAAGATCATCTACTATAAACCCTAAATACAGCAATTGTATTGTAGGAATGTCTTACTATTATCGTAAGAGCACTATAGGTCATCACTGTTTTAATGGACAGATTCAATGCCCAGTCATTTCAATGAGAAATAGGCATTTTTCCATCAAAACCAATTCATATTAATTAAACTGCCCATGTAGGCAGTTTAATAGTAGGTTTTCCCCTACATGGTACTACATACACAGTCTTGCTACTGTTGAATACTCATTCATAAATCTTGTTTCCCAGAATAGTGTCTTCACTTATAAATAAGCTCTATTATGATAGATCAAAATGAAAAAAAGGTACTGAATATATAATAAATAAAAATCTGTCACCTTGGACCAGAATCTGAGGTTCTGCATAATTCAGATTTGCTCATAAGTAAGAAATTGTTAGGCGGTGGAATTACATTTAAAATGTCATGTAGAAAATATTTCTAACTAAATTACTTCAGCCACAAGATCATATCAAAGAAAAATTCTGCATTGTACCAATATTGCTTTGCTAGCCATACACCCCTCTGGTGGTTTTTGGGCACAAGAACAAGAATGGACACCAGATGGGTAAAACATTTGTGATCACAAATGGTTGAGATTTAGAATATTCAGATTATTAGATTTACTGCAGAGCATGAAACATAAGCAAGCTATTAAGGAGAGCTGCAGCTGAATGTGCTCACAGATTTTATTCAACAACAAACTGCTTCTGCTGTAAACCACCAGAAAATATGCCTTATACACACTTTTATTTTCAGAATCTCTACTCACACAAAGACTGTGGCTGCATCTACATTACCATGCAAGAGCAGCTGAGGAGGAACAGATCTCTACAGTAACAAATATGGCACTGAGGTCCCAACGGTCCCATCAACTGTTTCTGAATTTGTACCAGACTAGAATTTTCTCTAGCTCCACAGACCTAAAGCCTGAAAGCATGTGGAAGACAGCCCAAGGCTTATTTGTGTCTGAAAGGAAATGCAAGAGCACTCTGCCATAGCACCAGTGTGTGGCAAATGCAGAGATCAGCTCCCACAGACTACTCCAAATGTGCACTAACTAAAAGAGGAAAAAAAGCTCTCTCTTCTCCCCTATTAAAAAAGAACAACTGGACAAGGACACAAGCTATAGAACTTTTTTGGATTTACACCTGAGAAGTGCTTACATTTGTTGGTTTCCAGTCATTCAGTTTATTGTCCAAAACCACATCACAACAGAAAGCTCCAGAGATCACTGCAGTTCCATTCCAAAGATAAAAATATTCATGTTTGTAACAAAGTATGCATTTTACAGTCATACTATAGTCTTACAACAAAATAAATTAGAAGAAAAACAGAATTACTTCTAGAAATAAATAATAAAACGAAAGTTTTCAGCTCTGATTATACTATAAAATGACAGATTGAACTTGTGTTGTTTTAATTTAATTTCACTGAATGTGAACCCAGTAAAATCACACTGTTTCTATACATGCAGTACAATGATATAGCTCAGCATATCCAAGATTATTCCAAATTCTGGTAGAAGTGAAATATTTACCTGTGCTTATCAATCACAACAAATGCTAAAATTGCTAAAAAGAGAAGCAGTTATAGCACTCTACATGACCAACAACCAACCTTCTCATATATTAAATGCATAGTTATGCAGGTTTTGTTATTGAAACAACCTCTTGTGCATTTTCTCACTTTTCTAAATCTTAGATCACAGATGAGCAGAAGTTGTAAATAAGGTTGATTGTACCTTAATAATCTTCCAATTTGGTGCAGACTTTTAGAAACTGAAGGGATGGACAAGTTTATGCAGTTATTAAAGCAAATTCCACAGAGACATGTCACATCACATCTAGAAACCTTGCTCATGTCACTTCACAATACAGAGGTTTAGTTACTAATTTCAGCTATGAAATCCTAAGTGGTCTGAAACCCAGAGGCCACACAGACCTTTTTTCTGAACATTGGTAACAAAATTGGTTTTAGTGTGGTTATTATAAATTAAAGGCAACAGCATGCAATACACATATCAATGCTAAGTACCATCAATCATTGGAAATCATTTTTCTCTAAGTTTGGTTATTAAACTTGCTTGAGAAGCAGCAAAAGACAATCAATATAAAGCACTTTTATCACCTGGCACTTCTGGAGTTTTAACTAGGTTGACTGAGTATTCATCCTTGAATGCTCGCTCTAGCACACATGCCATGATCATGGCACAGGAACGCCAATATGCCTGCAAAGAGAATTTCAGAACAGGAATTTAATGCCTAGAAGCTAATTATTAAAAAAAAAAATCCCCTAAAACTTAACTGGATGATGCACAAACCTAGCTGCCAACCCAAGCATTCCACCCCTGGAAGTGTTCAAGGCCAGACTGGACAGGGCTATGAGCAACTTGGTCTAGTGGAAGGTATCCCTGCCCATGGCAGGGAGTGGAACAGGATGAGCTTCTAATGTCCCTTCCAACCCAAGCTTTTCCATGATTCTATGATTACTTTCTTTAGTATTTAAACTTCTATTCAGAGATGATCTTCCAAACAGAATTAAATTTAAAAAATCAAAACTGCACTTAGAATGCAAGCCAGATGTACCCCTGGAGATATTTAAATCTGAAATCAGAGAATAATACAACAGTTGAAAGGAAAGCCAACAATTCACCTAGCCCACACACTAGTCCAGCTAATGATAGCCATGGTGAACCATTAAAAAGACATTAAAAATGTCTGAACTTTAATGACAACAAAGTTCAAGAAAGCAGACAGGCATGGAACTGAAAGGTGCACACAGAATCAAGTGGTCATAATTAGGGCCACCTGCAAGACAAGGTACAGAGAACCAGGGTCACCTACAACGGAACAGGATAATAACTTACCTTGTTTACTTCCTCTGGATCTTCATCTTTGAAGGTAAGGAACTTAATTTCACATGATTTGGTCAGGGGTCTGTACATGTCCCAGATTTCACCATCCACAGAAGCCAAAACAGAGTTCTTGCAATGCCATTCACTTAAATCTAAAGAAAGTAAAAAAAACCCTGAAGTATTAGTTAGTTATTAACCATATTTCTCAAGATCAGCAATTCAGACTGCTGCATTTCTAAGAACTGCAAGTTTCATATTTGTAAATGACCTGGAAGGATGAACTGTGAAATAAGCCTCCAAAAACTAACTGTTTTTATTTCAATTGACAGCAAAACATGATGGGCTAGTTCAAAGTCCATCCACTTACGCATGGCACAGTTGTACGGCGTAGACAGAGCCTTGTTCATGACAAACACACTGCCATGGTGCAACTTCCCAGTGTATTTCACTTCAATTTTCTCAATCCTTGGGTGAAGAGCCAATTGTCTCTCTTTCTCTTTGGTGAAGAGCTCATTACGCATCCGAACCACCTCGTCGGGTGTCAGTCGAGAGAAAGCTGGTGTGGAGATGTACCCTGGTGACAGGAGAGATATTGAGTAAGCAAGAATCCTGGAGTAAGCAATCCTGGGGTGAGTCCAGCAGAGCATTCCTCTTATGAGAATAGCCTGAGGGAATTGGGCCTGTTCACCTCAAGAAGAGATGAGTGAGAGGGGACCTCATCAATGCGTGTTAGTGTCTGCAGGGAAGGGTCAGAGTATGGACCAAGCTCTGCTCAGTGCTGCCTTGCAATGCAACAACAAGCAAGGGGTAGAAACAGACACACAGAAGTTCCACATAAACATGAAGAAGAATTTTCCTGTACAGTGACCAAGCACTGGAACAGATTTTCCAGAGAGGGCATGGAGTCTCCCTAACTGGAGATATTTCAGAACCATCTGGATGCAATCCTGTGCCATGTGCTCTGGAATGATCCTACCTGAGCAGAGAGGTTGGACCAGATGACCCACTGTGATCCCTTCCAACCTCAACCATGCTGAGTTTTTGAAGCCTTTTTACAAGGTTTTGGTTTCTACAACACTTCTGATCACCCACCTGTCTGTCTCAGTACGTACAAGGCAGAACTTCTGCAGCTCCAGCAAGTGACCATGCTGGGCCCCTGCACTGCCTGCACAAAGTCACAACAGGGGACTCTGAGGGAACAAAAGGGGTCAAAAAGATAATGAGGGGTCTCAAGCATCTCTCTTATGAGGAGGGACCATGGGAGCTGGGCCTGTTTAGTTTGGAGAGGAGAAGACTGAAAGGGAATCTCATTAATGTACATAAATATCTCAAAGGCAAGTGCCAAGAGGTTGGTGCCTCACTCCTTTCAGTGGTGACCAGCAACAGGATGAGAAGCAATGGCCATAAAATAAAACACAAGAAGTTTCACTTCAACATGAGGAAGAAATTCTTTCCATGGAGAGCTGCCCTAGGAGGGTGGGGAGGAGACATTCCAAATCCACCTGGACATGCTCCTGTGTCACCAGCTCATGGTGACCCTGCCCCGGCAGGCCTGGATATCTCCAGAAATCTCTTCCAACCCTATCTACTCTGGGTAGTCGGTCCTATGCAAAAGTTAATGTTGCTCCCCGGCTGCAAAGGCCTTTCCCTTTTATTATTTGTGGCCTAATAAGGGCACCTCAGCCCATTGGTTTATTAAAAAAATATGGATATTGATCTAGTACCGATATCCAACTGTGATGGACAAAAACTCTCTAACAGTTTAAAGTTAGAAAGTGTGTGTTTATTCGACACCGGGCAGCACGCGGGATAGCTCCCAAATCCACACCGTGCCTTCCAGGTGATTACAGAGCCCTTTTAGCCACACAAGTATTGAATACCCAAAATACAAATACATATTCATCATTTTGGTACATCCCATTCCCTGCTTCGTATGCTAATCACTCCAAAAGCTATTAAGCATGCCTAGTTTGTCCCTTGAAATGGGTCGGTGTTCCTTTTATGGGGATGGGTCCCAAAATGAGGAAGTCAATGAAGTCTTCCTCTTTCTGATCTTTCTACCTTTTCAATGCAAATATGCCAAATGAACTCTTGGTAGAACTCCCATTCCTTGTCTTCAATTGGTTTCAGAACAGAGGATGCCCACAATTGTCTTATGTTCCTAAAGCTCTTTGTCAGTTTCTATATTCTTCATTACAAACCCATCCAACTAAACATTGTGCTGACAAGCAATCCATTATTAGTTAACTACTAACTCTTTAACTTCATCAAGGCCTACTCATTTATTTTAATTAACTCCAGTAAGGCTTATCTCCAACTAAAATCTTAGCTCCTCTAAAATCTCTAAACTCCTTAAAATTTACGTTTCACCACGGAAGCACCGCCGCAGTACAAGCCCGAGCTCGGCCCGGCCGCGGACTCCCGTTTCCCTCCCGCATTCCCGTTCCCTCCCGCATTCCCGTTTCCCCTCCTCATTCCCGTTCCCTCCCGTTCCCCCCCGCACTCCCGTTCCTGCATTCATTCCCGTTCCCCCCCGCACTCCGTTCCCCCCTCACTCCCGTTCCTGCATTCACTCCCGTTCCCCCCCGCACTCCCGTTCCCCCCTCACTCCCGTTCCCGCACTCACGGCTCCCCCGCAGCCCGCGGCCGGCCCAGGGCCCGGCCATGCTCCCGCCGCCGCGGCGCCGCCTCCCCGCGCTCCGCCGGAAACACCGGCGGCAGCCGCGCGGTTCCGCCGCCGCCCCGGGACCCGCCCTCAGCAGCCCCGCCGCGACCCACAGCCACACAACGTGCTGTTTGTTATTTACTATTTACCATTTACTCCGTTGGGAGGGAGCCGCAAAGATCGCCGCACGCTCTCATGGTGCGTGAGAGGCTGGACATTGCTCGGCCGCGGAAGATCCAGTGCCGTGGGCATTCCTCTGGGATTCCTCAGAAATCCATCCCCGTGTGCTGGGCTCATCCCAAGCCCCGTGGGCAGCAGGGCAGGGAGGGTCATTTGTGAGTGATCTCTCAACCCGCAAGCCTTTCGCTATATTTTGTTTTTCCGTGTCCAGTTGAGGAGGGCAGTGATAAAGTTTGGGGAGCGCTTAGTGTCCAGCCAAGGCCAACCCCTCACACCTCCCAGCTGCACACCCTCCCCAAAAGATGCAATGCAAGTAGAAACTAGCTGCTGCCCATGCAGGAAAACCATGGTTCACATTTTTAAAAAATAAATAAATTTATGAAATGACTGAAGAGTTCATTTGGATGCTTTACAGTTTAGCTGGTGATGGTCTTCATTGTAATCCTCAGCTGGCAATGGTGTAAGCAGCCATCATGAAGCCAATGTCAGACAGTTACACTGAATTAGTGTCATTAAGAGCTAAAGCATGTAATTAAACTCAGCATAAAAAAAAAAAAAAAAAAAAGAGACATGGAATTTTCCACTGCAGAAACACATCTGTGGAGCAGTGGGACAGCTGGGTCCCCTTGGTTTGGTGCCTGGCACCAGCTTCCCTCTCTACCTGGGCTCTCATCCATAAAACCAGGGGTGTGAGTAAGGTAGATATTTGTGCCCTTGGTAACATTATTTGATAGGTTAAGAATTTCAGCAGTTCAATCATCCTGCTTCCTCATCTTTAAAATTAGTTAAATACAAGTTATGTAGAATTATGCCAATATTTGAACAATTACAGCTCAACTACACCATTTCCCATGTTAAGGAATCATACACAGTCAATATTCACATGACATAATCATTTTAGTTTAAATGGTTAAAAAAACATAAGCAAAATAAGGTTACTAGTGTAGGGTATAAAAAGAACACTTTTATTCTATAAGTAGATCATGCAGAATGTTCAGACAGAGACAGAAACAACCCTGTTCTGTCATTCTGAGGGAGTACTGAACGACAGGAGTAAAGTCCTACTTAATACTACACACTTTATTATACATATCTATTATAAACTGGCACTTCCTAATCTCTAAACCTTCTTCTGTACAAGTATTTGCAACTTTTTATTCAGCTGAATCTTCAAGAAAGAAATGATGGTAGGATACCTGCTCTGTCCTTTTACTTGTTTGATGTAGCTCTGGAAGCACAATGTAAATTTTTAAAAATCTGAGATTTGTAGCACGCTGAAGGTTATAGAGAGGAGCAAATTTATCTGCATCATTGGTAACCCTCAGCCAACAGAATGACAGTGCAAAGCTGTACAACCCAGAGAAAATCAAAATACATCTAAAGATGCTGGAAATTTCACACAGAGAGCAGCTTTGTGTAGAAGGACTTAGGGGTGATGGCTGATGAAAAACTGAACATGAACCAGCAGTGAGTGCTCATAGCCCAGAAAGCAAATTATGTCCTGGGCTGCATCCAAAGGAACCTGGGCAGCCCATTTATTTATCCCTCAATGCTCAAAGGAAAACAAAGAAGAGATCACTTAACAGAACTGTCCGAGAAGAATTACAACCTATCAGTCTTCATAAAGCCCTTTAACTTTCAGGAAAACCATGTCTATTATTTTATAATGGTCACAAAATATAAGGTTTCCCTCAGAAGCAACAGGAACCCTGTAATTGTTCTTGACATGGGTCTTGGGGTAGAACAACCCGGATTTTTTCCTGGGCTCCCAGAGAAAACTGGGGAGGGGGGGATGAACAGAAGTTTTTATACAGCAACCCAAGAGGAGGGGTATAGGAACATTAAGTAATGAGGGTAGGGCTGGGGTGGGGTCAAAGGTGGGATTAACATTTTATAAATCTATCAAGGAGAACAGGGAAGGGAATAATACACAAATAGGGTGTCATGAGCAACAGGACAAACGCAGAACTCTCTGGAGAAAGAGGTAGGGATAGGGAGGATTGACAATTTGGAAGGGAGGAGGTTAGGGAAGGGCTTGGGAAGATTGTCAGGGGATTAGGGAGGAGAACAAGGGGCAAACATGGATTCAAAGCAAAACACACCACAGCAGCTTAAAAATTCCTGTGCCTCTCTTTGCCATTCTTTTCTGTTCTCACTGCTCATCCTCTAGGTAAACAACCATAGCAGCACTGTACAAGGCACTGAATGCAAGGTCACTGAAGTGATACAATTTGCAGGATGAGTACTGCTGAAAGATAATGTTTTATTCATATGATTAACATTATTTCTTATACTAATTTTCATGCACAAGCAAAGTGAAAGCAGTAATCCATGGCCAGAAGCAGCAACAGCCTTGTAAGACAACATGCAGTGTAACTACATCTTAAGAGGTATATTCTCATAGAATTATAGAATCATGGAATCTCTGAAGTTGGCAAAGACCTCCAAGACAATCAAGTCCAATCTTTAACTGAATAGCACCACATGTACTAAACCATATCACAAAGTACCACATCTACTTATTTTCAGAACACTTCCACCACTTCCCTGTGTAGCTTGTTTCACTGCTTTACAAACCTTTCTGTGACAAATTTTTTCCTAATATCCAACTTTAACTCCCCTGGTATGACTTAAGACTGTTTTCTCCTTTCTTATCACTTGTTACTTCGGAGTAGAGACCAGACTGGCTACACCATCCTGGGAGGTAGTTGTAGAAAATAATGAGATTTCCCCTTTTCTCCAGGCAACCAACTCCAGGTTCCTCAGCCACCCCTCATCAGACTTGAGCTCCAGATCCTTCCCCAGCTTCATTGCCCTTCTGGACATGGTCCAGCACATGAATGTCCTTCCTGAATTAAGGGGCCCAGAACTGAACACAGGTTTCGAGATGTGGCCTCACCCAGTGCTGAGTGCAGGGAACAGTCCTGGTCCTGCTGGCCATACTTTTTCTGAGACAAGCCAGGTGCCATTGGCTTTCTTGGCTACCAGGGCACTTGCTGGCTCACATTCAGCTGCTGTAACCAACACCCCCAGGTCCTTTTCCTGCTTTGCAGCCTGTCCTGCAGGGGGTTGTTGTGACCTAAGGGCCATTCCTGGTAACTGGCCTGGTTGAACCTCAGAGCACTGGCCTCAGCCCATTGATCCAGACCCTGTCTGCCCTCCAGCAGATCAACATTCCCACCCAGCTTGGTGTTACCTGCAGCTGACGAGGGATGCACTCAATCCCCTCCTTACAAAGAGATGAAATAGGGTTGTCCCCAATATTGAGCACTGGGGACACCACTGGTGACCAGTTGCCAACTGGATTTTACACCACTCACCAGAACTCTGGGCTCTGCCATCCAGGCATTCTTTTACCTAGTGAGCAGTAAAGTGTTATGAACACTGTGCCAAAATAATTCCGAATTCTCCACCAGTAGCATTGTGGCTAAAGCATTGTCCACTGTTGCTTAGGCTGAATTGTGTCCTACAATGCCGTCCTATGTGATGGATCTTTTTTTGAAATGTACCTTTATTTGCTACTGAGCCGCCTACTCAGTGGCAGTAATCTTGCAAATTCAGTTTAAAAAAAAAAAAAGAAGAAGAAGAAAAAGGCATTGATTCTGTACTTAGCAAGTCAAAGATAAAATCATAGAAGACATTCCAGAAAATGAAGGTGGGCTGTAGGGGTTTTCACTGAAAAATGCTACTAAGAACAAGTAATTTGTATTGCTCTTTGCTTGCTCTGCCCTCACATTTTGTGGCCTTCTTGATTGAAGTTTGACAGTCCCATTAGGTATGAAATATTTTAAGAGTCTAATAGCAATACAGTGTTCTATCACTACTCTAGTCCATTGCATTATAGCCACGCAACTAATCCACGGCATGGTCTGTCTTTAAACAGCCATCAGTGACAGCTTGAAGAAAAAAAAACAACATATCTGAAAATATTTTTTTGCTTCTTTTCTCAAAAATATTCTTGCTCACAGTTTTTAGTTTCAAATTACAAAACAAGCAGATACTTTTTCAGATAAATCAGGTATAAAAAATAATAAAATGCCACAGAACTCAAAAGGAGACAAGGCCCTGGTGACAGGCAGGGGAGTGGCAACCATTAAAGCAATACCCCAGGACATTGTAAAAAACCAGGTGCCATGATAACTAAAATTGCAAAAGAAAATGTATCCCTTAAATTGGAAATATCAGCCTGTCCCCACATATGGTTGTTGATTATTCTTTACACTAAAGGGCAAGGCTTTCAAGCTGATAGATTCAATGTACTGCAGGCTGGCAGTTAAAGCTGCATAAAAAATGCATAGTACATCAATATACAGACTTTAGGAAAAAAAATATGATATTGATTGTAAAATATGCGTATTGGCAATTGAGCTAAATTAAATGGAGTCTGTTTTAGCAGTTTTACAAAATAATTTTCCATCAACTTATCCCATAGCTATGCCTGGAATCACATCAGAATGGTCACTTCACAGCTGTGTGCTACTGTATTCAGCATTTATTAGAGCAAATATATGTGACAACAATTTAGTGTGCTGAGAAAAAATATGTACAGAGATCTTATGCACAGGCTGTGGCACCAAATCTCAAATGGCACCTCTGACCATCTCAAACATAACATTTCTCTTTTTAGAAATATGGAAAAATCTGTTTCTTCTTTGTTAAATATGGAAGCATATTCTAAGGTGTCTTCTTGATCAAAGCCTGAACCATGTAAGTTCCAATAACAGTGAGCTCTCAAGTGTCCATATAAAGAATGATAGGCATGATTATTCACAGGAACACTTTTTTTTCTGTGTCTTTCATTTTCTCCCTTTGTGGCTCCATATTCTACATCTTCCCCACTGCTACTCTTATCATTATCAGGCACGGTTGCCTACAAACTTGCTGGGTTATCTTCTATTATAGATGAACCAAGAGACACTAAAACATTTAAAGAGCAATCATGGTAGGAAAGCACAGGAAGAAAAAGGGAAAGCAGCACAGAACTGTAATCCTTTATGCTTTCACTGGCATTTCACTCTGCAAACAAGAGAACTGCTACTTCCAGATCACCACATATCTATACTACCTGCTTATCAGTGGGGTAAAAATATGTGCTTTCTTACATGGAATGAGGGTTGCATTATTTAATCTTCTTAAATTCAATGAGTAAACTTGAGATATGCCTGAATGTGACCGACTAGGGAAACATTGTCATTCATTAAACTTCTTTCTAGAGTTATTTTTAATGGCAGTAAAGGGATGAACATTCATTATCTCTTCTAGTCTGGCATGTGTAAGGCATAACAAAGAAGAGATTCCATAGAAATTAGCATCTTACTCTTCAGGGTGCTAATTAAGCAGCAAGTTTCCTTCATGTACTGCACTGCTTCACCACTTTTGCTCCTCTTCTATGCAGGTTTTTGAGAAGTGGAATCAGTCATCTTCCTTGGTAATCTATCTGTGATAGATTTGAGTATCTACATTGCAAAACCTTTGCAACCAAATTTAGCAGTTCTAATTTGTTATACTGATTTTTTATTGTTGTTATTTTACATCAAAGCTATTCTAGAAATCAGTGTGTTAATTTCAGAAGAATAAATCTAGAGAGGTTTTATTCCCCTCTGCAAAATAAAATACATTTTGAGTAGAGAAATCACCAAAAGGAGGATTCTTTTAATATAACTTAATTTCTCTTTATTCATTTTTAGCATTATATAGCTAGGAAAGATAAAATGTTTCCCAAGTGAGGAGCCAGAGGCTTATGGTCTTTCACTGAATTTTTACAAATTATTTTTCAAAACAATTTTTCTGTTAGGTGAGAACAGAACTCTTCAACTGTGTGTCACAGACTGAAGTGGTTCATGCCTTAAACATTGTTTTGAAGGAGTTTTGCCCATTATAGCAAAAACTATATTCCTGGGATTGTAACAAGACATCCAAATCTTGAAATCATGTTGCAATTACACTCAATTTTTCAAGGCTTTTCTATACAAAGAACTTGACCAGAACAGCTATCACAAAGTAAGATAGTTATTGTTGATTAGCATTTTGTGTGCAGATGTTAATTATAAACTATTTTTATTATTCTAAAAAGGAGTGTCTGTGGTAAGTTCTCCAAGAATATCTGTTAAAGTGAGCATCTCAAACAAATTCTTCCATTTTGGGCGCTATGTGTTATTTGATGAAAACATTTCTACTCCAACTTTAAAAGGTAAAAAATATGGATAGCAGTCTTGTGCCCTTCTAACAAAGTACTTAACAGTATTTTTAAGAATACAATTGTTCAGCAAAGTACATAGAGAAAAAGTGTATATATTAAATGAACTATATGTATTACAACCATTTTTCCAGTAATTCTGTAAGTGCCTTCAAAATACTAACATTTAATTGCTGGTGTTTCCTGTAGTAGTATAAAACAAGTGGGAAAACCATAATCTAGCCATTACTGAAATAAAAGAAGGGAATGAAAAGAAAATATGAACTGTACTAGAAACAGAGAAACGTGGGGGAAACACTAGGAATTTGCTTCACTTGCAAGAGAAATAAAATAGTGAACAGAAGAAAGGAACTTTAGTCTGACCTCATGCTTGAATGGATTTACTCTAGTATAAGAGCTACATTAATGAATCACAGAATCACAGAAAGCTTTAGGTTGGAAGGGACCTTAAAGTCCATCTCATTCCACCTCCTGCCATGGGCAGGGACACCTTTCATTGGACCAGGTCACTCAGAACACTTGAACACTTGAGCCTTGGACACTTCAGGGATGAGTCAGCCATAGCTGCTCTGGGCAATCCATGCCATCATGCTCACTGTAAGGTTTAAGTTTATATATAAACCTAAATTTTCCTCTTTCAGTTTGAACCCATTATTCCTTGTCCTGTCACTACATTTTCTGATGAAGATTCCCTCTCCTGCCTCCCTTCAGATACTAGAAAGCTGCTGTGAGTTGTCCATGCAACCTTCTCTTTTCCAGGCTGAACAATCCCAGTTCTCCCAGCCTCTCCTCCCAGCAGAGCTGCTCCATCCCTCTGCTCCCCTCGGTGCTCCTCTGGCCTGGCTGCAGCAGGTCCCTGTCCTTGCTGTGCTGGAGCCCAGAGCTGATGCAGCCCTGCAGGTGGGGTCTCAGCAGAGCGGGGCAGAGGGGCAGAATCCCCTCCCTGCCCTGTTGCCTACTGGATTTTGGATGCAGCCCAGCACAAGGAGGGGTTCTGGGGCTTCCAGCACACACAGCCTGGGCATGTTAGTTTTTCATCAGCCATCAGTATTAATAACATCCTATATTGCCTACCCTTTAATTTCATTCCATACTGCCATTTCTTAATATTCCCCATGTTTATAACTTTTCCACCAGACTCTTGCCATATTTAAATGTTATATCAAGACAACATTTCCATCATTGTCTGACTAAATAGTAAAGCAGTTCTACTGAAATCAATGAACCTTTGTACTTGCCTAAAACTATGATGTGCTGGGACACACAAAAAATTTTTCTGTTTTCAATGGGACAGTTTTGATTTTATAAAATGCATGTCATGATACCAGTAATGTATACTGGACAGACATACATACATACATATATGTATGTAGATCTTTTAAAAGAAATATTACTTGTGTTCTGTATACATTTTTTTCCACGTGAAAAATAAACTAAGATTTTGCCATGAAGAGCATCATGGTATCCTACTTCCTTGTTCTCCATTAAAATAGCTGTTAGAGATTTTATTTATAAATTATCTTTCTTCATTTTCTTGCTTTCTAACAAAATATAGCCATCATTGATGTTCTGATTACCAAAAAAATTACTTGTGATACTTTTCTTGTTATAGAATTGCTTTACATCAGTGGTAATGCATTTTTAAGATGTGACTGGAAACTACTCAGATACATTATCCACTGTCAAGATGAGTAATTTTCCTTGATTCATAAATTTAAAGAACTATTACACCACCTGTATATTTAACAAAAAACTCTCATAGTCTGGTATAAAATAACATAATAAAAACGTTTTGAAGGTCACCGTGTAACCCATCTCCTGCTGTAGGTGGGATTCTGTCCAATCCAGCTGTATAGACAGGCACACAAGGAGTCACTGTGACTTCTTTCGCCTTAAAACAGCGCCTCGCCCTCACATGGCTTTTTTGTTAGCCGGAATATCCAAGTGTTTGTTCCGTGACTTCACCCCGTTATCCCTACTTCCTCCCTGAGAGGATTTGCCTGAAGGGAAACGCGCCGACAGGGACAACGCTCTTCTTAGAGACATTCAATCTTTTCCTAACGAAAAGTTTATTCTGTTGCAACAAATGCCCTTGAGTTTATGAAGATGTCACAGCTTAAAAATGAACAAAACGGAGAGAAGAACTGCTGTATTCAACAGCCCAGAGCCCCGGGGATGCGCGGGGGCATTGCGGGGGCGGTGGAGGAGAGGGATGCTCCCGGAGCCGCATCCCGCCGCGGCTCCCCGCTGCCGGGCGGGCGGGCGAGCGGGCGGGTGGCCAGGGCACATCCCCGCCCCGGTTCCTGCGCTGGGAGCGGGGAGACGCCTCCTCGGACACGTTAAAAGTTTGAGGCGGCTCCGGCTCCGGAGGAGGCAGAGCGCGGCCGCGCACGGCAACAGCTCCGCGGGCGCGGAGCCCCCGGCGCACCGGGCACCGCCCCACGCCGCCGACGGTACGGGAAGATGGCGAGCCGCAATCCGCGCCTGCTGCTCCTCCTTTTCGTGGGGTTCTTCAGCTGTAAGTGCCCGCGTCCCTGTCCCACGGGGCCACCGCGCCCCGCCGCCCCGGCCAGCTCCCTACTTGCGGGGCTTTCCGACCCGCCACGCCGCCGGGCTGTGCGGGGGACGCTCCCCGCGGGATCTTTACGCGTGTGTTGAGGCGGATGGCTCCTGGAGGTGCCGCTTCCCCTCCCTCATCCCGGGGCGAGAGCAGCCAAATAGCGTTTCCAGGAGCGAAACGCAAACGAGCGCGTCCCCCGCCACACGCATTCTTTCCGTGTGTCTTTCCATGGTTTCGCTCGGATGTAACCTGTTAAAGGCCGGCCTGGTTAAGTGCGAGTCAGCGGCCGTCTGCCGCCGTGCAAACTTTAGGATGCGGGCTGCATACTTTGTTTTTCTGGCCTTTACAAGGTGAATGAACGAGGGGCGGGAGCGCGTTTTCTGTTGCCAGCGCTGGATGCTGCATCTTCGGAACAGTTCTTGAGTTTCCAGTATTTTTATGCTCCGAACTCCTTAAAAATAAAAGGTTAAGGTTACAATAAGTTGAGCAAAGATTCCCCAGCCAGAAAGCACGCATAAATAATAGGAAAAAGCAGATATGTGCAGCACATACCTGCGGAGAGCCACTGAATTATCACACTGTTAGTAGTGCCAGTTGTGATAAGGCTGTCACTTTCAGATCATGTCTTCTTACAGTGCTTCTATTCTATGCTTTTTGTGTCTTACTGATGTTTGGGGAAAGGGCTGTACATGAAAATAGTGTTTTGAAAATATTTATGTTGCACCATCTTCCAATGAAATGACCACCTAGGACCAGCCCAGGATGGGTTCTCAATCCACTGTAGATGTGGAACATCCATGGTACTGATGCTGGGTATATTTTGAGGTTTACCTTTCATTCCTCTTAATAGAACATTACCTAACAAAAAGCTCTGTGTATATAAGCTTCCCCCCGCTTTTTTTTTTTTTTTTTTTTTTTTTTTTTTTTTTTTTTTTTTTTTTTTTTTTTTTTTTTTTTTTTTTTTTTTTTTTTTATTTTTTTTTTTGATTTTTTTTTTCAGAGTCCTGCAGTGGAGATATTTGAAGTTATGCATGTCTAATAGGTCATTGGCTTGGAATTTTTTTTTCCCCTCTCTTTTTTCTCCTACAAGACCTTATGGAAATGTTGGGCTGTTAAATGAACAGCTAGTGCAGAAATTCTCTTTCTCATAGTAACTAATAATAATAAACAACATGGCTTGCCTTTTTTTTTTTTTTTTTTTTTTTTTTTTTTTTTTTTTTTTTTTTTTTTTTTTTTTTTTTTTTTTTGATTTTTTTTTTTTTTTTTTTTTTTTTTTTTTTTTTGTGACAGATTTCAGTGTGTTCAGGCTGCTCAGCCTTCTGGTTAGTTGTCTGTTGGCAGTGCTGGCTTTGACTNTTTTTTTTTTTTTTTTTTTTTTTTTTTTTTTTACTTTATTTCTTCTTAATTTCATTATATATCTGAGCAGGTGAAACTGCTGTGATTTTTTTTTTTTTTTGTGACAGATTTCAGTGTGTTCAGGCTGCTCAGCCTTCTGGTTAGTTGTCTGTTGGCAGTGCTGGCTTTGACTGCTAAGGAAATGATAGAGTGTGCAATACAGTGCATCAAAGTCTGCTGCCTACATCGTTATCAGACTTGAAAGTTTCTTCTTGGTGGGCTTTTTTTTCCCCTTACTGTCCCAATTCCAAAGAAACACTAGGTGGAAAGCAAGTTTACAAGAAAGGTGCTGATAAGAAGTCCTTTCATTCAGAAAGTGATTGTAGGTGCATGAGTGTGCAAATGCCTACTGTTTGTGGGAGTCAGAGGAAACCCAGGAAGAAATCCAGGAACCAGAAGTCTGCTGCTGCTCCTGTGGCTGGAATGTGTTTACATGAACAGTAAGGCTGAGTAATTCAGGTGTCCAAGCCACCTGAATGGGCTGAGCAGTCTCTTATGTGGGACCCATGTGCTCTGGAGATGGTGGAGAATGGGCAGAAACTAGTGAGGAACAGGAAGTAGTGATACCTCACAAGCAGCATATGGGTAACGTGGCAAGAGGACACACCCTCAGGCTGAGTTGGGGAGGACATCAGGAAGAACATGGAAAAGGTTGTTAAGCATTGGAATGGGCTCTCAGGGAGGTGGAAGGGTCACCATCCCTGGAAGTGTTCAAGAAACAACTGGATGTGGCACTCAGTGCCCTGGTTGTGAAAGTGCTGATTGGTCAAAGGTTGGACTCAATGGTCTTAGAGATCTTTTCCAGCTTAAATGGTTCTGCTTAAATGGTTCTGTGGAGCAGGTATAGAGAACTTTCTTGGTAGCTGCAGAAATTAAAAGCTGTGTAAGTTGGTCACAAGGCATCAGCATAGCCAAGGTAGATGATGTTTGCTTTTCATTGGGAACTTGCTAAGAAATAGTCATGCAGAAATTGTAGTTTCTGTGAGCTAATCATCCCTTCCACCTTTAATTTATGGAAACTAAAGAAGCTGTGAGTCTTTAATCATGTTCTCTTTCAGCACAGGCTTCTGGAATTGACATCTCAAAGTTGTAAAAGGTGCCGCAGCGTAAGACTTGTGAGCTCTGTTGGCAAGACAGAATATGTACAGAAAATGTTATTAACCATCATGGCTTCATGGGAGGAGATAGTATGTACTGACCAAATGGCCTTTCTGAGAAGCATCCAGGTGTGATTTTTCTTAATATTTGTGCACACTGAAATGAGCCTTCAGCTGCCGATGCTGGAAGCAAATGCAGTACAATATGTGTGTGAGAGGACAGTGCAGAGGCAATAAATAGTAGTCTTACCTAAATATTTGATGGAGCTCACTGGGGTAGTTTGAGAAGTAAGTAAGGTGATATTTTGTTTATTTTTTTCTGGCTTAAGAAAACCCCACTCCTTAATTCTCAGAAACCTTTCACTCAGATACAGAGATTCTAGACCAAAGAAGCCTTTTGTTTCTTTTCCCCCCCAACCCCAACAAAAAAAAATCATAAAGCATGACTGCATTGCTGTAGGAAGTGACAGTGGAAGTGTTTAAACTATGCTTTCTTGACTATATGTGATAGACAACTGATGTACTCAAAATGGAGACTATTGTCAACCCTCAGCCTTTTGTTGAACCCTCTTTGCTGGATTGGCTTGGTAGGAACTGATTCCTAAATTAGGCCATATTCAGGTGAGATGGGATTTCTTAAATTTGTAAGACTGCATATTTCTCTAGTAATACCTGTTCAGCATAATGCTATAAAGCAGACAGCCTGGTTTTGGAGCAGGACTGGGGGAAGAGGAATTAACTGAATGTTCATTTCATTGCTGGTTTAGGTGAGAAGAAGTATTTATTTGCTTATTTAGTAACCTTTACAATTTCTCCCTCTTGCTTAGATCCTCTCACCTCAGAAGAAACTGGCTGTGAGTTACTGATTTCTCTCAGAAATCATGGCTTTTGCAGCATTTCAGCAAGTCATGCTGTTTTCCTGGGCATGCTGCTTAGAAGGGTCTCTGTTTTCCTGAGAGGGCTCAGGCACAAGTGTTGCTGTTCTGTCTCCCTCCTGTCTCTCTCCAGCAGAGGCAGAGAGAGCTCTTCCTTGGTTGGCCCCATGGTATCATTTTTCTAAGCTGCACAAAAAAAGAAAATGAGGGTGGCTGTCTTCCCTCACTGTATACAAGACAAGAAATGTGCCTGGAAATGTTACATCAAGACAGTTGCAATTCTTTTTTTCTTTTTTAAGGTGGACTTGTGCAAGAGGAGAACTTTGTTATTGCTTGGCCTCCGAGGTCCTGTTTTCTCAGCTTTAAAGTTGCAACAACTCTTTGTTCATGTTGTAGGATACATATTTCTGGTAACTGTGAATATCATAGGGCATCTGGCATTAATAATGACAGTTAAAGCTACCACTGTGACTGGCAGATCTAATTGAGCCTGGATGAGGTCTTCCCGTTGTCTATTTAACTGAATTACACAAAGATATTTATGTGATTATTTCCTGTAATTCCTGCTGCAGCCTATTTTGGTAACTTCCAGGTTCTGCTTCAGAAACTGGCTGATGTCAGTGCAAATGATTTGGTGAGAATACGAAGTAGTTGTTTTTTGACATCATCTTTTCAATTGATTGATTTAACAGAACACCTAGTTTCATCTGTCATGACTTAGAGCTAGCAAACTTGTCTGTGTTCACTAACTCCAATGTTATTTGGGATGTGTGCAGACCTGTTTTTAAAACATTACAGCAGACACTTACCCTTCCTCCAAGGGTGCCCCAGGTGGTTTTATTTCTTCTCAATTGCTAGTGGTCACTAGGGAGAAGTCCTCTTGTGAAGTATGGGAGAATCTTCTTGTACATCTGATACTAAGAAAATTCAGTTTCCTCATAAATTCACATGAGTAAATAGTAGTAGTATTTCTTCACTGAAGATAGACAGTGACATGAATGTGAACCTTCTGCAGTAGCAGTAAGCAAGCTTCCTTTGTTCGAGGGGGAATAGATTTGGGTTGGTAGTGCTTTTAGAGAGCCAGGAACAACTAGTAATATTGTTCTGCAGTTGGGATGTAAAATTTTCCATCTGGTATGATCTACTTAGAATCCATCAACACTCAAAATGTAATTCTTGTGTTGAAGCATTTCTGAAGACACTTGCTCCCTGCACATGGTGAACTCTTTTAGGAACACTTTTCTTAAAGTAAGGCTTAGTGTCATAATTTCCCTTAGAAATGCTAGAGGTGACTCCAGTACAAATGCTTATGTAAAGGAAGGTTACTTAAAAATGTGCACACAGCCAGAAATGTCCACAGTGCAAAATAAATATCTTGTATATTAAAGCAGGTGGAGCCCAAGGTAGACATATGTATTTGTCCTTGCAGACTGTTTTCCAGGGCCATATGGAATGGCTAAACTCCCTTGAAGTTATGTAAGGATACCAAGCAAAACAAAATTTGCATAAAATAGTGTCCTTGTGGATGTGTACAATGAGCTGTCTTACTGCTGTTTTTTCTTGTTTTACTGGGTTTTTTTTTCTCCACCAT